AGAGATCCACCTCATTGCGGCTATCGGATCCTGAGTCCCATCAAACTCTGGTGGCTTCGTGTTGCTGAACTCTCGGTACAGCAACGAGTCACCCCCCTGTGGCCTGGCATTGGCGACGGCTGCGGTGGCTACAACAACAGCAGCCTCGGTAAGAGAAGCATACCGCTCGTCAAACGTCTCAATCAAAGTGGTCTTGCTAGACCCAAACATCTCAGGAATCTCTGCTTGTATGGCTGCGGCCACCTCCTCGTGAATCAACCTATGGATCTCCTCATCACTGGTACCACTGGTACAACTGCCTCCTGGGTGGTGGCGCGTCCCAACCATGATGTCTCTGAAATACAACACATAAGAAATCATAGATTCGCTCGAGTATACTCGCACTCGATACTCAACTCTACTTGTTCTTTAGTACCCTAAGGATTCTTACTTGGACTGCTCACCGATCCGGTGTTTCCATTAGTACGGGCCCTATACTACCTTCCACGACGCATCGACATTCACCCCTAGTCCTCCTCCTAGGATCCCAGATCACAAGTACTCTATATCTCACTAAACTCAGGCTACTCTCCGGAAGACCACTCATAAGCTCCTCGCTGCCACCTACTCACTCTCGAAGTATCTCATAGTAGCAGTAACTCCTAGGCTAAGGCATCACAAATCAGGCCCACTCTAGTCCTAACCATGAATAGCTAGCCTACTCTAGCATGCATAGCATATCAAATAATATCTCATAACACATAATGTAAGGGTATTTTGGGAAATCACCGTTCGGGCGCTGGCTGATCGTACACACTGCTCCGTTCTGCTTTCCTCAAGAATCTTTTGCTCTTTTAGAAAAATTGTTTCTTTTATGAAAAAAAATTTCAAATCCTCAGTTTGAGTTCAGATACGCCCGAAGGTGCATCCGAATCCCTCAAACCAAGGCTCTGATACCAACTTCTAACAACGTAAATTTTCAAAACAATTTTTCATTTCCAAACATAATAAATTTCATAAACAATTTCAGAACTCATTGTATCAAATGTTATCTCAGAAAACATGTCCCAAAATATCAAACACATAAATCTCAATAAGGGTGTACTGATCATGCCGGCGCCCTCCTCGCGATCCTCGCTAACACCCGAAACACATATCACACAACACGGTAAGCATAAATGCTTAGTGAGTTCCCCAAAATACCACATACAACACATAAGCCACTCGAGGCTATAACTCGGTATGACCCTCCGGTCAATGTGTCTCAGCGGGACCCTCCAGTCCCGTAGCTCGTTGGACCCTCCAGTCCGGTCTAGCTCGTTGGACCCTCCGGTTCGGTCTAAATCGTTAGACCCTCTAGTCCGGTCTAAATCGTAGGACCCTCCGGTGCGGTCTATATCACACATAGCATACATATATCACAAAGCACATAAACTCAACATACACATAACACATAAGACCCTCCAGTCTGCGCATAGCTACCACTCTAGGTAATGTATAGTGAGAAGACTCACCTCGGGTAATCTCGGAAAGTCTCGAACTTGAATATCTGATCTAGCCTCCGTCTAATCACATAAAGTAATTATCTATAATTAATACGGCTCTCAAAGGTTAGACTAATTCCTCCCTATATTCTCTCAGAAGGGGAAAAGACCATTTTACCCCTCCAATGGTCCGATGCCCAAATGTTGACCAAACCCTAAAAGTCAACCCCAGTGAATGGTCTAACTTTGACCAGACTCGTCGAGTGCACTCAGGTGACGCGGCGAGTCCATACATGTCCTCTGAATCCTCCTAAGGCCTCACTCGACTCGTCGAGTTAACCTTTCTCTCAACGGTTACCACTGATCACGAATCGTGGTGCAACACGATCCGACTCGTCGAGTCCGCTCATGGACTCGGCGAGTTTAGTCCATGAGATTACTCAAATGACCTTCTGAGGTCTGATCTGCTTCTCTAACCTATAGATCTGACCTTCCAATACACAATAATTATGTATAGGTCCAACCTTTACGCTCATGCAACACTCCTAAGGCTTCTTTTGGTGAAATAGCTCCTAAAATGGCAACCAAGGTCCACAACTCCAAAGGGACTGCATAAATCTGGTAGGTTGGGACTCTCTGGACCTCTTAAGGTCCAGATCTAATGCTTATTCCACAATGGGACTTCATATACTCCAAAATCCTTTGAAGACAAGGGTCAAGATAGATTCAAGAAATCTACACCATACAGAAAGAGAGGGCTGATTTGTTACCTCAAGGTGAAGCTCCTTGCTCCAAAACCTCATTATGACAACCTCCTTTGGTCCTTCTTGCTGAAACCCTTCTTTTCCTTGCAAAATCACACCAATAAAGCTCAAGATGGCTCATCTCTCACTCTCTATGCTCTCTGGTTCTTAGGGATCTCTCAAGGGTGAAGGTGGCCACAAATAAGGTCCATAAGATCCCTTAAATAGGGCACAGGCCCGAGGATTTAGGGTATTTGTCCACAGTACGGACTCGTCGAGTCCACTTGCCGACTCGTCGAGTCCGTTCATTAATCCTAGTCAGCAATAGCGATCCTACTCGACGAGTCTAGGCATCGACTCGTCGAGTCCCTCTCCTTGGCTTAAAATAAATACTCAATTTATGATACCTTGAAATCCGGATGTTACAGGCTGTATTAACAATAGTCCTCGAGCTACCTTTCTCTTCTCAGTTTGAGTTAAGAGATGACTGCTTGGTCATATTCTTTCAGCAGAGGTACAATGAATTCTCCTAACTACTATTTTTCTCCCTAAATTTCTTACACTTTTCACACACCATGATGCATATCCTAAGGCATCTTTAGCAAAAACAAACTAGGATGTAGGTCTGCCAAAAATTTGTGTTTATGATCTCAAATCATTTTTCCATGATGCGAGTGAGACCCAACAAACCTTACACCTTAAGGAATTGACGGTGAACAATTTATTTTTCAAGAATTTAACAAGGAATTGATGAATGAGACATCATGATTCAATGTACCTTTCCAAGTGTTTAGAATCTCAGTTTCATTTCTTATGCGTGATCTTAATGAAATGTACTAATCCCCAGCCATTTCTTCCCAGTAGATCCAGTTCTTTATTTTTTTATGAAATGAGATTTACGTCTAAACATTTACTTCGATCTTTAGTCACCTAAATTTTTTCCAAAGCTTACTTTTTTTTATTACACTAATCACACAAGTATTTTCTTACCATTTTTTTCTCTTATGTTAAGTTGTGAACTTGTTTGAAAATCAAGCCTACCATAGATACTTGCTAAAAGAGGCCATTTGATACTTCTCTATAAGTATTCGATTATAATTCATGGGAAACCACACAAGCACTTTGATTTCTCTCTTGATATTGAAGGAAGAGTATCTTTCCCCGAGATCTTATTTCCTTTATATCAAAGTTTCTTTGATATCACACTTTATTCAAAATTTTCTTATTTTGATTCTATCTTTTCTTTTGGAACACACTGGCACTGAAATCCTCGAGGTTTTGGGTATTACCAACCGATACCAAGATTTTGAAAAGTCTGGCTTATGATTTTATTTATTATTCCCATAAGTGAATGAGACAAAACCTTAACTTCTGAAGATTGGTTCTTGGAAACTGTCAAAGCTTGGCAAATGTTCGATTTTATTGGCGATATCGAGGTGACCGTTAAGAAGTAATGTTACTGTTACTTTATCTTGGATAAAGAGAAACACTCATTACACGTATCCAGTGAAGATAAGGATAGTGTAGCTTCTGTTACCTACTTTTACACGTGGCAGTTAATAATTGGGTCTTGGTTTGAATTTGAATTGCATGCCAGTTAAAAGACGATATGGCGGTTCAATTCAATCTTTCTGATTTCCTGAAATTATGAAAGAAACCTAACCCTATTATTTGATCATCATCAAAATTCTCTTTTCGATCATCATGTCTACTGCAAATACCGTTGTTGATCACTTCAATACCACTGAAAATGAAGCTTTTGTTCCAAACATGAATATTCAATCCAATAACGTATGGTTTAATTCGTCGTTATCAGCGTACCCTAAAGAATTTTAAATGCTTTTTTAGTGTTTGAATGATTTTATCCTTGCTTATGATTTGACAACTTCTTTTTCCATTCTGATGACTTGGTTATCACTCGTCGGTTCCACTGCTATATACAATAACACAACTGAAGTTGTTTCATTTCAGATGGAATCAAAAGGCAACAAACGTTTGAACAAGAAGCAGTTTGCCCAATTTCTTCAATTTCCTTCTGATGGTCATTTTGAAGTTCCTACGTCTGAACAGGTACTTCAAATGTTTAATGAAATGGGATATCAACCTTAGATTTCTTTGCTTAGTAGATTTAAGAATTCAAATCTTCCAAGTGTATGGAACTTTTTCTTTGGTATTACTCTTCAATGTTTAACTGGAAGGAGTTCAGGTCTGGACAAGGCAAAACTTTAATTTTATTCCATTATGGTTGGTATATATTATGGAATGAAGGTTTATTATGCATCGTTATTATGGGATGACTTTACTACATCGATCAAACATTCGAAGAAGAGTACTGAGATTGCTAGTGCTTGTTTTTGGAGTCTCATTTTACATGAAGCATATAGTCAAGTAGGAATTCTGGTTCCTGATGATGTTGAAGTTTCTCAATTCTCACATATCGACATTCCTAAAGTAGATATTGATGATCTTGTGATATTTCTGGTTGTTAGAAGGATTCCTGATGCAATGCTTCAACTGGTGGCTGATTCGAATCAGTTATTGATTCAATATAAAGCTTCAATGAATCTTTCTTTTGGTTCTATTCCAAATAAAGTTACATTGATGGTGACAGAAGAAGCATCTAAAGATTCTAAAGTTGTGAAGAAGAAGTCCATATCAGCGCCAAAAAGTAAATTTTGATAAAGATGTTTCTAAAAAGAATGTTTCTAAGACGGTAGTAAAAGGTGGTTCTGAGAAAATGGTTAAATATGTTTCTGAGAAGACAGTTCAGGGTGGTTCTGATAAGGTGTTAGAGATGATGGTTCCTGAGATAGTTATCATGAAATTAAAGAAGTTAAAGTCGAATTTGAAGTCTTCAGGAGTTGTTATGAAAGAAGTTACTGATGAGGAGGCATAACAGAATAGGAAACGCAAAGTTGTTGGGTTGTTGAAACATTTTAAGAAATTAAGAACTCGGACAATCAAAGAACCTTCTACCACAGCTACGCCAATACCAAATACTTTTGAAGCAGATCACAATAGTGAAGAGACAGACTATGAATTTTTTGGAATTGAGTATCTCACATTCCATGTTTCACCACAAAAGGATGCCACTGTTGAATCGAATATCAAGGAGACAATCAATCCTTATGTCACTATACATGCATCTAATGTGGATACAAATAGCGATTCTGGTGAACCAATATCTACTTTTCTTCCTGAGACAACTAATGTCACTCCACCTAAAGGTTCTATTTCCAAGTCCAAAATGGAGGAGGGTAGGTCTTCTAACATCATTGTGAACTTATCTAATAAGGAATCAAATGTTACTATGGATGAGGATACTTCGATATCTGCTCCAGACAATTCAACTGTTCCACCGCCACCTTCGTCTCCACCACCAACTTCAACTATTCCATCAACAAAAAATATAGTTGTTTCTCCGGCATTTTTCAGGTATCATAAATGATCCTATCTCCTCTTTCTTCTCTTTGCAATTTACAGATCAAGAGACGTCAAATAACGAAGATGATGAAATTATTGAATTTTCTGAGCTAGAGTTTGATCCTAAAGAATCATGTCAGGAAAGCACTATAAAATTATGAACTCAAAACTCAACACTATTCTTAAAGTTTTGAATGATAATGTTGGGAAGTCTTCTGTGAGTAGTGAAGAGGTTGAGTTTTTATTAAAGTCTCAAGAGTTGAGGATAAGGACTTTGATAAGCAATGTTGTTACTAGTTTAGAAGAACATCTTGCTACTCACTCTAGTTCTTTCAAACATGAAGTCAAGGAATTATAGAATGTTTCTCATGAAAGGCACACATTGTTTGAACATATGGTAACTTCATCAAAGGAGTCTATTATTTCAAAAGTTCGAGAATTGGTTGATTTGTTTTCAAAGGAAGTGACGAAGCTTGATAAGTTTTGTGTGGAAATTAAATATAATGTTGATGTTCTTATGGGACCCACTCGAACCTTGATTGAAGATATTCGAGCCTTTAATAAGGACTATGTTGGAAAGATGAAAATCAAAACGGAATCTGGTGGCAAGGTTTTTACAAATATTGAGAATTGTCTTACGAGTTTTGATGATTCTTTATCGAAGTTTGGTTTTTCTTTAACAACTTCGATATCTTAAGAACAAATCTCATATGTTGTTTCTTTAGTGGAATCATGTTTTAATTTTCACCTGGCACATATTTTTGAATCATGAAAAGTGACCCTCTTGAACTTCAGCTACCGCAGCCCACAAGCACCCGCAGTCAAGCTCCCATCAGCAGCCTCATCCGAAGTCATCTAGCCAACCGCAGTCTTCTTACTTTACTTAGTTTATTTATCTTACTGTAATACTCTCTACTGTCCAGTATGCCTTGCATGGCTACTCTTAGAGAGTGAATCAAATGTAACTCCTTGAGTCTCTATAAATAGAGTTCATTCTTACTTATTCAAAAACATCTAAAAAGCTATCTTTTCTATCTCTCTATCTGATTACGCATCTCTTCTTACTCTCAAACCTTACTAGAATATAATTGATTACAATCTCTCTTCAGAGCAAGTCTCTTGTGACTTAATCACTAAGTTTGATCTCACTTATTAACTTGGCTTGAATGCATTCCTCGTTATGAATCAACTTATGTGTATACTTGATATAACAATTGTTGTCATTTCCATTTCTTTACTTTTCCGCAACTAACTCTCTAACTATCTAACTCTAACTTATTAATATTATTGTTGAGCTTTTAGATCCTTCGAGATTAACTATTCTGCATCTATACTTGTTCTAACGTTTGTTCAAGTGTGTCTCAAAGTTTTTCTCTCAACAATTGGTATCAGAGCCATAGTGGTTGCTTTTTGAAAAACAGAACTCTGATTTTCAAAGGGCCTTCTATACCACTAAAGCTCATTTCTTAAAACTTAAAAAAACAAAAAACAAGGAAATATGGCACAATCGTTATCTCTGAATGTCTCCAACAGTGTTGGTGGTTCTAATCGAGCCCCAATATTGGTAGCAAATGAATATCATCATTGGTCTCACGGAATGGAAAGATACTTAAGGATACTTGGTACAAATGTATGGCGATCCGTAGAAGAAGGACCACATGTCCCAGTTCTTACCCCAGTCCAAACTGACGGCGCTACAAGCAGACTAGGAGGAGGTCAACCAGTCATGAACCGTCCCACCAAGGATGATCTCGATAAAATGGAAAATGATGTTGTTGCTTTTTATGAAATCTATTGTGGAGTTGCTCCTGACAACTTCGATATTATCATAAATTGCAAATCAGCAAAAGAGATCTGGGAAGTTCTCAAGAATTTGTATGAAGGCTCAGAACAAGCACAAGACAAGAAGCTTACGACCGCACTCAATGAGTTCAACAATTTCAAAGCTCACACTGGCGAAAGCTTAGAAGACTCCTTCAAAAGGTTGAACCTAATAGTCACCAAGTTATCCAATGTGGGCACCATCCGCAGTAACCATGAAACAAATGTTCAGTTTCTTAATGGTTTAGGAAGACATTGGACTATGGCCAAGATGATAGTCCAAGGCGATAGAAAGATTCACTCTTTGTCTCTCTACAAGCTCTACGGAGAATTGCAAGCACAAGAATCCACCGTACTCAAAGAATGTGATGACTTTGGAGGACCACTTGCTCTCATAGCACAAGCTCCACCTAATCAATCCTACTCTCCATCGTATGACACTCCACCGCAGTCATACGAAGCTGACTCAGAGTATGATGATGAAGAAGAATTTCAGAAGGCTATTGCTCTGGTTAGCCAACAGTTCAACCGTCTACCACCTCCTTCCTTCCGCAAGAATCAACAGTTCAACAAACCTCCATTCAACCGTAACTTCAACCCACAGAATAATCATTCTTGTTACCCTAAAAGTTCTCATCCACCACCGCAATCTCAAAATACTCAACCAAAGGAGGCACCGCAGTCTACTCAAACCACTGACTCCGGTACTCCCTTAGAAGACAAGACTTATGTTGTGATTTGTCACAAATGCAACAAAGAGAATCACTTTGCAACAGATTGTAAGGCCAATGTAGTAAAAGACAGAGCATTCTACCTTAGAATGGCTCAAGAGTTGGAAGATAAGGAAAAGGCAAGGGCATACGTAGCCCATGTCAAAAGAAACCATCAAGTTTGGTCATCCGGAGATGAAGATGAAGCCATCACCAGTATCAAAGGAAAAGGAAAAATCTGCATGCTGGCAACTGCGGACGACAATGGGTCCTCAAAGCTGGAAAAGAACTACTGCTATATGGCAAAGGATGGAACTCTAAGGATCGTCGAACAGGTAAAACTCATGATCCAAACTCTAAACTATAGAATGCATGACTGTCAACCCTTTATAGATGATCTTAATGACACTTGTGCTACTGTCCTTACGGACTATAACAAAGCCTTAGATGAGAAGAACATTGCGTCCCAAGAGATGTTCCATGTGAGAGGACGACTGGATAACAAAAGACTCAAAATGGTTATGTTAGAAAAAGACTTAGAGTTAGAAAAAGATGCAAGAATGTTGAGTGAAACACAATTAGAGATAGCTTTGAACCAGAGAGATTTAGCTCAGAGTGAAATTGTACGCTTAAATATTTTAATAGAAAAATTGTTCAATGAAAGTGAAGCTATTGAAAATTTGGTAAATAATGGAACCGTGGACAATACATACAATTGGGGTTGGTCAAATGGATATCCTACCGCAATGGATTCCTCACCCCGGTTCAACAAAGACAGATTGTATATCCCTCTAGACCGATAATTTCATTACCCAGTCAATGACAAGACCTTCCCCGAAGACATCAAAACACACTTCGGTAGACTTCATAATCTAAGTAATAATTGTGTCATTGAGGAAATTGTGCCTGAGGTTTCCGGTCACACAAGTGATCTGACTCCTATCTGTGGCACAATCCATTCAAATTCTCAGACCTCATCCGTAGTTGATGAAGAAATTGTTATTGAGGGCCCCGAAGTCTCGAAAGACTTCCCATCTCTGCCCTCAGACCGCAGTGTCTCACACTGTAGTCAGAAGTCCCATAAAAGTCCCACTGAAGTCCCAACTCAGACTTACTCTGCGGTAGTCAAATCATCCCTACCGCAGTCCTCATTAAAAGGAACTGTGACTCTTCAGCCAATTCATCATGAATTACCCATAGAGAAATTTGAAGTGGGTCAATGTTCTCAAATCCCTGAATCTTCAAGTTCGGATGACTCAAGCCCTCGTTTTCATAAATTTTCAAAGGATTCCAGGAAACCGCAGTTGCACATCAAAGACTGCGGTTCCCCAAAAACCTTAGCTAAAAAGGATTTCAAACAGGAAATTCGATCCCGAGGCACAAATAGACAAACTTTTTCAAAAAACAAGAAGCATGTCAGATTTCCAAAGTCCAAGAGTCCAGAAAATTTTTATTTCTCACACTAATTTTCGAAAAACTCTCCCGTCAAGAAAACATACAAAAAAAGAATGTATAGTTTCAACAATCATTCCTAATTCATCTGACACTACCCAAAAGAGTGTGAAGTCTTTTCGAGACAATGGTTTTCAAATCTATTCCTCAGATGATCCAAAATGGAAGGGTATCTTACCCACTCCAGCACTTTTAAAGTCACATCAAAATTTTAACAAGTGGAAGGGTATTCTACCAAATCCGACAAAAAGGTCTCAAAGATCTACACGTGCTAAACCTCTTTCGAAACAAACTTTTTTCAAAACCCAACAACACTCATGTCAGATATTACCAACCTCGGACCGGTCACAAGCCTACCTCATCCTTTAGACCGCTGACCAAACCTGGTGTCAGAACAACAGACAAAATTTCAACCTGTAAATGTCAGTGTAGTTGCCAAAAAGATTCATCCTATGTCAAATCTAGTTGGAGTCAGAAACCTCGTAATTTTTCAAAAACACACAACACTCCAAAACTGCACAAACACCCAGGACTAGGATTAAAATTTGACAAGAAACCCGTCCCTGCAACCTCGGTCCATGCATCATTCATATCTGTTGTCCTAGGCTCCAAACTAGTTTGGATGCCTAAACTAACCGTGTAATTTTCAGGCTTTGTTCAAGGAGGAACAAGAAGATGAATGGTTAATTGACAGTGCCTGCTCCTTGCACATGACCGGAAGGTTAGAATACCTTCGGGATTTCAGGCCAATCTGCAACGGTGGAAATGTCACATTCGGCAACAATGCAAATGGGGTCATCCGAGGTTATGGTGTTCTCAATACGGGAAACTTCTCTATTCCAAAGGTTGCTTATGTAGAAAGCCTTAAACAGAATCTTATCAGTGTTGGCCAACTATGTAAGGCAGGCCATCGAGTTGAATTTGATGATCAATTTTGCTATGTAATGACAAGTGATAGGAACACGTGTCTGATCAAATCACGATCCGAAGGTACTATGTATCCTCTGGATGTCTCTCTGATCATAGGCAAACCGCAATTATG